TTTGTTTTGGCGTAGGTAACACAAATAGTCTGCCACTTGAGGTTGTGAAGCCTCTCTTGCTGTAAACCCTTTCTTTGTTGCATAATTTTTGAAACTGTGCCACTTGTCGTCGTACAAATTACGAGTTGAGTAACGTAAGGCAAAGCGTGACTGCTTTTGCCGCCCTGGCAGAATATCCTCTCTTGTTTAAACACATTTGTATACAGTCCATACGTGTAGTTGGAACATTGCTGGGTTTCCGTGCACTTGTTTGGTGTGAGGATGAATTAACAGGTTTGCGCGCTTGGGTAGCTCCAGTGTTGGTTGACCGATTTCTTGAATTAGTATGGGAAACCGTTCTGGCCGACCAGTAGGGCGACCAAAGTGAGTTGTAGGCTCTGTGTTTGTCTGATTTTCTGTAATACTTGAGGTATTATTGCTGGCGAAGCAGCGTCGCGTGAGAGGCCTTCCATGATAGACTTAAGCGTCCGTTGCCCAAGCTTGGGGGTCTGGGACTGGTGACACGAATGTCGGTAGCTGTTTGTTGAATCGGCGTGGCGAATAGGTCTATTAGCGGCTCCTAATTGCTTGATTATCTGTGCAAAAATTTCCCGGTTGATCATCCACTCTGTCGGTGATGGTAGATGAGGCCGAGAGAGAGCGTCTGCTAGTATATTTCTGGCTCCAGGAATGTGCACTGCTCAGACATGTAGATTTAGATCTTGTATTAAATCGAACAGTTGAAAGCTTAGGTTCAAAAGGTTCATCGATCTCGTTGAGCCTTGCTTGTTTATGTAGAAACGCCACTGTCGAATTGTCTGTATGGATCATTAGGCGCATTTTGTAGAAATGTGCTCCAATGTAGAATGGCGTTGATTACAGCTTTCATTTCTAGACTGTTTATATGGGTTTGCATTCTTGCTGATTCCATAACCCTGATATCGTGTGGTTGGTGAGATGAGCTCCCCAACCTTGGGTAGTGATGCGTCTACATACAGATGGGTTTTGTATTCCTGCTCTGCTAAACAAATCCCTTCGCGAACATTCGATTTCTTGGTCCACCATAGTAGATGTGGTCTGAGATGTTTCGGTAGACTGAATGGTTGTACATCGTTGAGATGTCGTTGATGAGGACCTGTAGGGGCGTAACTGTAATCTGCCTGTGACAGTCATGTCTTGGGCTGATGTGAGAAGACCTAGTAGGCTCTGCCATTGTCGCGAGTGGTAGCGGAGGAGAGTAGAGCTGGTGGAATGGTCTGTTGTATCTTGAGCCAGCGGTCTTCTGGTACCATAATATCTGGGTTGCGATTTGTGATGAATCGAATACCTAGGAACTGTAGGTCTTGCGATGGTACTAGGTCCGACTTGCGTAAGTTTACTAACCAACCTAGTTGTGTTAGTAGCTTTATGATGTAATTTAACTGTAGTTTGAGGCGCGGTGGATCTTGATCTACTTGTATCCCGTCGTCGAGGTAAAGCACTCGTGGCCCTTGGCGATGTAGAAATTTGATAATCGGTTTAGTTATCCTAATTGAATAGCCAGGGGGCTGATGATATTCGAATGGGAGTACTTTCCACTGGTAATGTAGCCCTTCTAGAGTAAATCGTAGGTATTTCCTGGAATCGGGATGAATGGGGATGTGCAAGTAGGCATCCTGTAGATCTATGCTGCCCATGTAGTCCATAGGACCGAATCATCTGGCGTAACTGAGGTAAATGTATCATCTTGCGAAACTTCGATTGGTTTTGCGTAGATAGTTCTTGTTGAAAAAGCTCATGTTGTAGATGAGTCTGTATTTCTCCGTGGAGTTTTCTTGGGAACTAGGAAAACTGGGGGTAGAAACCTGGTTCGACGTTTGCTTGATCTATTACTTCTATGGCCTGTTTGGATAGGAGTGATGAGACAGCCTCTTTTATCTTTGGTAGTTGTTAGCTTGTAAATCGAACTTGGGGGTTTGATTGTCAGCGGAGGCTTATTGTCCTGTAGAGGATCTGAAATCCGTGTTGAATAATGTTGGAGGCGTAAGGATCTTGCAGTATTCCCCAGTTTTCCCAGTGTAGTTGGGCGTCCACCCACTTGAGCTGGTTGTACTGGAGCGGCTGGGGTGGAAGACTCCAGTCGTTCGAACCTGTGTTTCAGCGTCTATAATTGCGGGAACCTCTGGGTGTCCTGCCTCTTCCTGATCCTCCTCTATAGTTGCCATATGGGCGTGAAAAAGAATCTTTACCTCTAGAGCTGGCTATCTTCCTGTCTCTTGCTCTTTGTAGGCCCGTGAACTTAGATCTGCCTGAGTATCTTTGTGAAGTCTGGCGAATGGCGCTGGCTAGTGTGTCCATCGATCTAATCATAAGGACTTCCTGGAATCATAGAGACTTCCTTGGCGACCTTGTCGATTTCTCCGTCAAAGATGGATGTTGTCGACCACGGGGCTGTATAAAGTGGGGCTGTAAAGTTCTCCCCAATTACAGGAGGCGAGGAGGCCTTGACGACGAGCTAAGGTCAATGCTGCTGAAACAGATGTAAGATGATCCGTTAAAACTGCTGATCTTTCTTTTGCATAAGTAAGGCAGAATAAATCATTCTATCATCTTCCGTCGTGGAATCCCGAATCTAGTAATAAGAGTCTCATTGATCGTCCTAGATCTATTTAACCCAAAGAACATCGTCTGCGTCATGGTTTCTATATGAGCCAACTTGCGATCATCCATCTTGTAAATCTTGTTCTTTACATAAGCTGATGATCTTATAGTTCTCATCGATGTCCTGGGCCTTGTAGAAGGAGTCCATGTTATCGTGGAGAACTTCTTGGCTTGAAAGTTGGGTAGATGTGGTATCTGAACTTTTCGTAGCTTTCTGGAAAGCTGCATCTAGATTCTGTGGCACTGCCTTAATCGGGATTCGATCGGGGGTAGAGTGATTGCATCTGGATCATCTTCCTTCATCAAATCGTCTGAGCTGTATTGCCACTTTTAGATGGTGATGTGAGATCTAGGTTATTGACCATCAATATACGTATCTCTGCATCAGAAAATATGATTCCTCCATCATCCTCAAAACCATCATCATTAATAAATTGTAGATGCTCTTCGGGACTGCGTGTAGCTGTCTGTATATCTGATGAGGTTTGTGGCGATCTAGTTGACTTGTGCGCTCTATGTGGAGATCTGATGGGTGATCGACCTGGTGATGAGCGGTGGAGATCGTCTATGGGATGATCTTCTGGGAGACTTGTGAGGTGAATGTTGATAGCCCGCGAAGCTCTTGGCAGTCCCTCGATGTTCTTCTAGGCGATGAAGATCTGGAATCATATGTCGCCAGCGAATGCCTTCAGCTTCTTCATTTCGCGTCGGTCCGGGGATCGATGATATGACCTTGAAGGCTTCCGTGATGTCTGATGGTCTGAGTCCATATCTAGAGATGAAATCGAAGATGGTGATGATCTCTCCCGCCAAGGCCTTCGCGAAGGCTGTACATCTAGGTCCTTCGTCAAGGTGGTGCGGGACTTCCTTCGCGAAGGTGACATCGTCTTGGCTGCTACGTTGACGGGGGGTGCCTCTGGGGTGCTGTCTACGTTGGAGCCTTCGCGAAGGCTCGGACCCTGCTTGCGCAGTTTGTAGTGGTCCTCCATGATGTTCATAATCTGCCGCATCATGTCTTCTGGGATGATCTGTGACGAAGTCGTCGGCGTCTTTTCTGCGATGGGGTTCACATCAATGACGTCTGACGTCGGTGTAGAGGCATCAGGCTGCATGGAGATCTCTGCAGAAGTCACAGTCGCTGACACCGGTCGCTTCTTCTGCCGTAAGTCGGGGATGATTATCGGCTGATCATCGTAGAGGCCCAACTCTGCTGCTGGAACGATCTCGGCTGAGAAAGTTCTTGCTGTCTTCGTAGATTTCCCTTTGGAAGTCTGCGCTGCCCTGGGTGTCCTCAATCTGCGTTGAGGCGGCGATGAGGCCCTCTTAGACTTAGTCTGCAATGACGGGATGTCTGGGGAGGCCGGTCGTTTCTTCGAGGTAACGGACTGCGTCCCACGTTCCTCTGCCGCAGGGGTCTCTAGCAGAACACCAGACGGGAGAGGGTCGATCGCTAGCAGCTGACTGGAAGGAATATCTGGACTCTCTGCCATGTTTTGCCCTTGTTTATGTGATCTATCTGCAGCACGTCTTAAGGCATAAAGATGATATTTATTAAATGCAGAATGAGATAAATTAATGCAGTAACTGCAGCGTGAATTAAACGCTTACGGCGTAGAACAACTAGGGCATATTACATGTGGATCGGAGGCAGAAAAAGCGTAATCTACAAATTGTACAGATTTTCATGAGCGTAAAGCTTAGCTGAACAATCACGAATACACGTGAATAAACAGTAGAAATCACGATAATTAATCAATACAAATAGTAAAGGATACTAGCTATACCTCTATAGTAACCTATGAGAGGTAAAAACTAAGAGATTATCAAAGGATATGTGTGTAAGGAGACACAAGGCGCTCTCACATCCTGCTCACTGGGCGAAGAAGGAGAGAGTGGAGCACATGGCCAGAGGGTGGCGACACCTTTTCCCGCCAGGGGAGACAAAGGGGAGCAACTCCTGGTGAGTACCAATTAGTGATTTTATTTTGAAGGGAGCTTCAAATAAGGAGATACAAGTGTTCCACTATGTTCGCAAGAAGAAGAAGACAAGCAAAAGAGCATGAGTCAGGATAAGGAAAAATATTTCAGTGTTAGGATTCTCTAAGAATGTACCTATCTTGTTAGCTTGTTATTTTTTGATAATAATAATAACAATAACGGATATTTTTTGGCATGCTACTTTCCACCCACTGGTACATGCTCAGTTTTCAAAAGCTTTCAATTCTTGGGGAATTCCCATTGGTTTTAAGCAGCACAATATGTTACCTTGTCAAAATCTATGATTTCACTCAAATACAACTTGATTTATATTTCAATACTTTCATGAGCAACTTGCACCTTGTTATTGAGAGAGCGCGATTATGTTCATGTCTTGGCCTTACCTCCAGCACTTTGACACACTTGCCAGTGATGACGTCCCACACACGCACGCTGTCATCATCACTAGCACTGGCCAGATATGTCCCATCAGGGGAGAAGGCCAGAGCTTGGACCCATCCCTCGTGACCCTCACACACATGGAGGATACGCCCAGTCCGTGGGTTCCACATCCTCACCGTCTTGTCCCATGACCCCGGAAGCCTGCAACACCAACATCATCTACACATGCAGGTAAACAGTTTCTAAAATCTCAAATATCCATGTCGATTCTGCTGAAAGTTATTGCACCCACAAAGACACTGATATTTTCATAAATAATGTACAATGTGTTATGCCAATATCATTCAGACTCAGTGAATCTGTAAGTGAATACGTCACTGGTTCTCCGCTGGAGTTGAACAGTATTTCAGTTACATGACAGCATGTCAGTTTGATGTCACAGAAGGGACTATAGTGACACAAAGATGTTAACAAGTCTGGTGAAACCCAAGAGCAGTAATAGGACAAAGACTAACTAACAAAAAACAGGGCTCCACATAATTCAACATCAGGAGTACGTACCTCTTTTTTTCCAATATAGAAGTACTGGAGTACATTTAGAGTACTGAATAGAATTCAATGGAGTGTGACCACGAGTGCTACTGGTAAGCAGTCTGTTCATTATTTGTACAGCAATTTGATTACTAGACCGTTTACAAGTCGTCGAGGCACAGTCTTGTTTCTGAAAGAAACTTGTAATTTGTTTCTGTGCTGCCATGTTTACGTACACATGCACAATTTTGACCAATCAAATTTAACCGAGAAGATTCGCTGCGTTCCTTAGCAACCGGGATTCTCAAAACAGCACAAGGGAAAACAACAATGTGTCGCTATCACATAAATTCAAATATGGTACACTGCTTGAAATCAGATAGATATGTTTTATATAAATATATTTGTAAATGATTGTTAGACCGTGCACCATTGCTGTGGTGCATGTCTCCTAAGTTTTCTACATTACTTCCTACCATATCTTGCATACATTTTCATCCGTACATACACCGATACGGTTTTCTTATCTTCAGCCCTGAAGTAATCAAGATGAATTCGGGATTCAAAACATCAATCATGGGATTATGTCACCTGGGCCCCGTTTCCCAAAGCTATCGTAGAGCTACAAATGTCGTAAGTCTATGTTACAGGGCCTAGATTTGCGAAGCTCTCTTAGTGGTAAGATGGCCATGAGTACCATACATTAACGTTAACTTACGACTGCCTCAGCTCTAAGAGAGCTTTGAAAATCTAGGCCCAGTATAGGAGGTACGACAGTCGTAGCGCTACAATAGCTTTGAGGAACGGTGCCCAGGAACCCACATGGTACGTTCACCATACATCGTCTGAGTAGACTCCGGTAAGAACCAGAGTAAATATACTGATTGTTCTGAACCTTTAGTTATCTGGCAAAGCCCATGACTTTTGTCGACTGGTACAGCTGTATACCAATTCACTCACTTATTCACACAAAACTCATCCAGTAATTGAAGAGAATCCCACAGCTTGAGAAAGACTTGTTAAATACCATGTATAATATATGCCCTTTCTGGCCCACTTGAAATGTCTGTATCTAAACAAGACACACAGAAACTCAGAGGCCCAGATAAGCTGCGTATCCAGGTAAAATACGCATAGAAAATTTCCAATTACGCATTGAAAATTAATTGTTGCGTACCAATTACGCATTTAAAATGTTAGATACGCAAAAAGTTTAAAACAAATGCGTACGGAATATATTTATAAAAATCACTTGCGTAATGAAAAAGACATCGATTGATATCAAGTTGTACTGTTAGGATACAAGTTTTGTACTGTCAGTATAGGATGAGTGATTTTTTTATGAAATCACTTCCATTATATTTAAGTTGGTTTTGATTAGGTATGACATGAGGCAGAACATACCTGCTTAGTAAACTTACTCAATGACATAATACTTAGGTGAGTAAAATGACTGAAATACGCACTTATTTGAAAGCAGTGGGTAACGGAAAATGAAATACCCATTCAACATTCATAATACCCACTCCAATAAAATACAGTGGGTACAGTACCCACATGAGCTAAATCTTATCTGGAGCTCTGGAAACTGGTGCAATAATATTGGCCATGTTCACAAATGACAGGTACTCTTTCTACATTACCTATATGCATCTCAATACAAAGCAGTTTGGATCACTTACTTCAGATATGAGTAAAAGCTACCTAAAAACCTCTAAATTACTCTTTAGACAGTTAAAACCTGTACAAAAATGACAATTAGACTTTGTTCCTTTCAAAATGTAGATATATTGGAGTTACGACAACATCAGTTATACCATTGAAGCTTAGCTATTCAATAAATTTAAGCAGATCATGTGGGCTACAAAACGTGGCTGGTTCCTTCAAACAAGGATATGATATCATTGTGTGACTATCATACAGACATTATGTGTTTTTTCAATTTACAAGTATTATTCAGTATTTTATATCCAGTGACCAAATAATGACACATAGTGACACATAATATGTTTATTGCCATTAAAAAAAACCACAATTTACCACTTATTATTTCACAGTATTCAATCTTTTATTGAACTCTCACATTTGTCAGATGTCTGAAATGCTATCAACTCTATGACATCACAATGGTTGGTTGGTTTATTGTTTAAGGTCACGCTCAGCAATATTCCTGCTACATGGCAACGGTCTGTAAATAATCCAGTCTGGACCAGACAATCCAGTGATCAACAACATGAGCATTGATCTGCACAACCAAGTCAGCAAGCCTTACCACCCGATTGTTTTAGTCGAATTTTACGACAAGCATGGGTTGCTGAAGACCAATTCTAACCCAGAGCTTCACGGGTAGACATCACAATGCAAGAGATCAGGTGAAGAGCTTTATAAACCCTGGAAGACCCAGGTTAGATCACTGACCAGCATTCCGTCCTTGGAGAAGGCGACAGCGTGGATGTTTCCCTTGTGTCCTGAGAGCACCTTCACCCCCTCTCTGTTGGCTTCCCTCGCCCCCTGGCTGGTGGATGGGGTGGGGCTTTGTGAAGAGGAAGGAGCAGGGTTGGGTGACAACGTTGATGTCTGAGTGGATGCTCCATCTGCTGATGTTGATGCTGATGTTGATGCTGTAGCTGAGGATGTTGTAGATACAGTTGGTTTGGGTAGATCCCATACTCTAATAGTCAAGTCCCAAGAGCCAGTTGCCTGGATATAATGGTGATGGGAAAAAATAAGGAAAGAAAAATACAATGGCACAAACATTTTCACTGGTGTGTTCAGTTGTGAGTGAGTGAGTCAATATTTAAGGTCACATAAGAATAAATTCAGCTGTATTGCTTTCAGCACCTACCTAATGGTTGGATTTAGCACTATATAAATTTTCAGTATTATCATTATTATCATTATCATTACAATTTATACATTAAAACTGAATACATTCAGAACATAAAAAAACTGTCATAAACGGACAGTAAAACTACCAGAGTATGTCCGATTTTGACTTAAAACTAGCATGTTATCATAAAATGATATCATTAGAGAAAATAATACAATATACAAACATGCTGTGTATCACCAGAAACTGAAGGTAGATCACCATTCTAGGGACCATGGGGTGAGTTAGTGAGTTTAGATTTACGCCGCACTCAGCAATATTCCAGTTATATGGCAGCGCGCTCTGTAAATAATCGAGTCTGGACAAGACAATCCAGTGATTAACAGCATGAGCTTCGATCTGCGCAACTGGGAACATATGACGTGTCAACCAAGTCAGCGAGGTTGACCACCCGATTCTGTTAGTCGCCTCTTACGACAAGCATGGGTTACTGAAGGCCAATATTCTAACCCGGACCTTCAGGGAGCATGGCAACAACATGTTTATTAAAGAAATTCAAATTAACACTGTATATCACAGTTTGAAATGTCAGTGTCCATGCTGCATTCTTGTTTATCACGACCGAATCCCTCCACTGAATCCCAGTCACACCCAAGTCTCCCTCCATGCCAAGTCTCCCGCCATGCCAAATCAACACATACATCCACAGCAACCAATCAGAGCATATGTGTTTTGCTCAAAAGTCTCCAAAGATCAATTCTGTTTTAACACATATCCAAGACACATATGTTTTAAAACAAATTACTTAACTTGCATTTAATCTCAACAACAACAACTATCATATTTTACACTTTTTCACCGTTTTGAATTATGAAATTATTGTAGCTATGGTATTTCTTCCCCTTTGATAATATTCAGACAAAACCATATTACAACAAAGATGTGGTCTTTTCATTGGTTGTTGATTTTCAGTTTAAGTGCAGAGGAACAAATTTTATGGATAAACGGCTACTTTATCTCAATAGATGCAATGTTTTGGTGTAGATGCTAACACTGTTTTCCAACATATCTGTGTTAGCATCTACACCATAACGTTGCATCTATTGCAATAAAGTAGCCATCTATCCATAAAATTTGTTCCTCTTCATCGTACCAGTTTCTAAAATGCAACTTAAAGATGATTAAGAGCAGGAGAAATTCTGTGCTTTAGAAAACAGAGAAGGCACTTGTAACAGAACTACAACAGAAAAGTGTCATGACAGATGGGTGAAGGTTATCTATCAGAGATGCAGAAGCTCCTGATGGGGGATATTATTTAGCACAGAAGAAACAAACACATGTCGTAAACATAGGACAAGTCAAATGATTATAGTAACTGATTATTACGATATGTGCATGAAAATTGCCCGGCTGAAATGCAGACACACAAATTTGTGAGATTTTATCACGGTTATGTCTAACAGTAAGTTAACAGTAAGTTAAACATAGCTATGATAAAATCTTACACAGTTTGTATATAATCAAAACTAACAGCACAACAAAATCAGTCACTGATTGGTATTTTTGCAAAATACAAATTGCAATAATGAAACGAAATTAGGGTCAGTTGTCCCCATGTTTCCTACCAACAGTGAGAGTGAGTTGGGCTTTAATTCGCTTTCAGCAATATTCTAGCAATATCACAGCGGGGGACACCAGAAATGGGCTTCAGACATTGTGCCCATGTGGGGAATCGAACCCGGGCCTTGGGCGTGATGAGCGAACGCATTAAGCACAAGGCTACCCCACCGCACCCACTACCAACAGACTGATGACATGCAGTCCCCTGTCTGGACCCTCATACGGTATTCATGAAAATTCTCCTTTCTCAATTTGACTTACAATCCATTTGCCATTGGGGGGGAGAAAGCGATGGACTGTACCAGGTTCTCATGTCCCATGAACATCCTCACTCCACCACCAGACTGCAACAGCAACCACCACAAAAAATCTATAATATCCAAAATGGAGGATTTCTCACTGAGAAACATTACTTTTCCTTTGCACTGTTTAGATGAGAATAAGATGTGACAGAAGTGCAGTATCACAAATATTTGACTAAGTCCATGACATGTGAGTGAGTGAGTTTAGTTTTACGCCACACTCAGCGGCGGTCTTTAAATAATTGCGTCTGGACAAGACAGTCCAGTGATCAACAGCATGAGCATCTATCTACACATTTGGGATACGATGACATGTGTCAACCAAGTCAAGACCATCTGATCCCATTAGTCGCCTCTTACGACAAGCATGGGTTACTGAAGATCAATTCTAACCCGGATCTTCACAGGTTTCATAACATGTACAATACATCTCATAACTACAAATCTACAAATGAACCCTGCTTATCCAGACCCCCCGATATCTGGTAACCTCACCCACTGGATGATATTTATGTGTAACAAAATGAAATTATATGAAATTTATCAGTTTTATGGAACCTGGTTGCCGGATCTAGACAGAGAATTTCAATTACTGGCGATGTCAGATACACACTATTGTGTCCCACTCAATAGACCAGTGGTTGACAATGTTGTTTTGCAATTGTCAACTGGCATCCAAAATCATGAGATTTATTTTGTAAAATTTTATTTAAATAGTTCATCGAGCAGATATCTGCTGTTGATGCCTTCAAACAGAAATGTATACATATTAGCCAACTGCCATTTTAGATGAGTTAAAAGTCTTATTTGTTGCAACCTGTTATGTGCCAACATAATGGTTTCTCAAATGGAATAATACAATCGTGGGACATCTCCACTGTGATTGATCAAATTGTTCACTTATGCTAAAATATCCAACAATAGCAATCATTTACTGCAAAGTGCCGTGTATATGGTCACTGTTAATTTGAAACATGTTGTAAATGCTGAGTAAGTACAATAACACAATATTGAACATTTTAACTATTAATTGTATATTATATTCTAGCACGACATCGTGTGCTACTCATTGGCGGATCCGGTGCGTGCGTGCGTGCGCGCGTGCGTTGTATTTCCAAACAAATATATGAGAAATCGCAAGTGTCTGGATACAAGGAATCTGACAACATAGTAATAAACCACCCTTTTGGCTTATTGTTTATATTTGCTACATTTCAGTTAAATATAATCTTGTTTCTCATATTTTGAATTCAAATCTTAACTCACCATTGTAACAAGGCACACATATAAGACATTAAAACAGCCTTTCCTGATCATGAAAAGCATTGTTGACTGTCAGGTATACTGACTAGGGGTGCAACGGTATACTGCGGTATTAGTAGAACTGTGGTATTTGTATACTGCAATGCAATAAAAAATTCAGTATTTTCGTTTTTCGTACCGTCATTATATAAATCTTTTTCTCAAATGTCTAGAAAAGGAATCATTTTGTCAAAATCAGTGCATTTCCTTGTTAGATGGACACTATTTTCCTGGAAGTAAGTTTGAGATTGCCTGAATGAAGTCTTCAACTTACAAGTCAGCAAGACCGCAACTGCAGATACCAGATCAGTAGCTGGGTTCCGTTTCTCTTTCAGTTATTTCAAATTTGACGAACAGCGGGAACATCGTAATAACTTATAAAAGACAACTTTATCATAAAGACCCACCATCAGCTGAGTTCTTACATGTTTGCTGTGATGCAACACACTGCGTTGTAGCGCAGGTATATACTGCCATCCGAAAACTTATGATGTCAGAAAACCCATAATAAAATCTTCTTCGATTTCATTCTGTTTGATTGAATTTAATCCCATTTTCATTTAGGTGTGAAACGGTACGCTCTTACCACGGTACGGTACGGTACGTATTGCGGTACAAGGCCTTCAGTTCAGTCCGTTTCGGTTCGGTATATGAGATATGATCATAATTAAAACAATGGGCAAAAAAGAGCTAAACCTTACATTGCTTAATGACAATGCTTAATCATAATCTTTGCTATTTTAAATGAGCAAAACTGTCATTTCATGACTAGATAGAAGAAGCAAAGTATCACTGGAACCTAGGAGCTCACAGCTGTGTGGCAAAATAGCAATTAGCCAAGTATGATTAAAAGTCACTAACATCACATGAACATTTACTGCAGTGAAATCACCACTATGTTCCAGAAATGTTCATGTTTTAGAAACACGATTCACAAATCAGATGTTGTCGATGTGACTCTGTTGATGACATATCACAGATAAATAGATTAAAGAAATTAACACAACACAGAACAAGACACTTAATTTCGGTATGACTGATCATTGTCATTGTTCTAAATCATTGTATATCTCTCGTTTCAGTCTGTTAAACATTTAGAGACTGTCCACAGTCCTTGGGAAGTACTGATACACAATCTTGGCACATTCCAGAGTCTTGTTTTATTCAATTTTCAGATTCAATCAACATATCTTTCAAAGTTCACTTAAAAACATAATTTTCCTTTTTTTGAAACAAATATGTTTTGGTTGCTTTCTCTCTTTATTGGTTGTTAAATGTTCATTGTGCTGATACTGCTTGTGATGAGATCAGTTCAGATCTTTGTGTTGTGGTAACAACAACTAACAAACATTAGGCTTAGAACTGTGATGGAAAGCCACCAGATCCATACCCATAATTGCAGTCATCCCTCGTTATACATAACACAGAATAAAGGCCAAGTAAAAACGTATTTTCCGTGGACATAACAGAACTGCTATTTCATGTATTGTGCCCGGTCAAAACTATATCGCATCGTCGGAGGTGACGAAACAAACTTTGCAAATGAAAATAGATATGTGAATAGGTCACCTGCAATCAAACATGACAACATGATAATTCAGTTTTCCTTCTCGTTATGCTACCTGTTACTAAAACGAAGCCGGGAAATAGCAATCAGCTGTGTACAAATGTTTTGCTCCAATCTACCCCTGATTCAGTTAAAAATGAACTGAAAATATAACATCAAAGAATTTATTCCATTACCAGAATAATTCTGGTAATAGAATAGAAATTTGTTTTTATTTGAATCACCGGTAGATTCTAGCAAAACATGTGTACACAGCTGATAGCTATTTCTGGCTTAGCTGAATAACAGGTAGCATACAGGAATGACAATTGAATTATCATGTCTAGCAATGTTTAATTGCAAGTTTCCTATACACATATCTATTTTCACTTTACAAAGTTTGTTTTCTCATCTCCGACGATACAACATAGTTTTGACTGGTCACAATAGCAGTTCTGTTATGTCCATGGAAAATACCAGTTTACTTGGGCTTTATTCCGTGTTTTGCATAACCTGGGAGTCTCATAACACGGGGTCATCCATGGACCCCAAGACCCACATTATGGCGAAGGATGACTGTAGTTATGGGTATGGATATGGTGGCTTTCCTATTAAGCCTTATGTTTGTTTGTTGTAGCTACCAGTACACAAAGATCTGAGCTCATCTCATTACAATCAGAACAATGAAGATTTAACAACCAATAAAAAGAGAAAGCAGCCTTTTCAAGCTAAAACATATTTGTTTCAAAAGGGAGAATTACATTTCAGAGATAACTTTGAAAGATATTTTGAACAAATCTGAAAACTGAATAAAAGAAAATTCTGGAATGTGCCAACATTATGTAGGTGTACTTCCCAAAGACTGGAAAGTTTCTAAATGTCTAACTGACTGAAGTGAGAGATAGACAATGATTTAGAACAATGATACTGATCAGTCACACAGACCGTAACTATCTAATGGCTACTGTGTTGTGTTAATTTGTTTCATTTATTTATCTGTGATATGTCATCAACAGAGTCACATTCGACAAGATCTGATTTGTGTGATGTTTTTTGTTTTAAAACATGAACATTTCTGGGACACAGTGGTGATTTCACTGCAGTAAATGTTGATGTGATGTTAGTGACTTGTAATTATACTTGGTTACTTGCTATTTTGCCACAGAGCTGTGAGCTCCTAGGTTCCAGTGATACTTTAGTTCTTCTTCCTAGTCATAAAATGACAGTTTTGTTCATTTAAACAATGTAAGGTTTGGCTCTTGTTAGTTTTCTGCATTATGATCATGTCTCATGTACCGAACCGAAACGGACCGAACTGAAGGCCTACCGCAATACACCAAGTGCATGTGGGTTTTATCACAACACTTGAGTACACTGATTAAAAATATGAACAGATTTTAAAATATTTATCAATGCCTAGTTGATGCTAAACATGTTTTGTTAGTTTTGTAGCGGACTGAAATCTGCATGGCAGTCACTATCTTGTTTACAAACAGGATGTGGATTTAGTAATGTGGTTTTGATTAGACTCTGCATGGACTCGTCAGTCCAATCAAAATACCAAAGTTCCAGCCTAATTCAGCAAGCATATAAAGAGGATGTGGTATAGTCAGCTAACGCCCTTGCCTCATGAAGATGTACACACATGTAGATAGAAAGTGGTAGAATTTGTTACCTCAACGTCCCACAAGATGGCTGACCTATCCCATGATCCTGAGCACAGCAGAGCGCCATCTGGTGAGAAAACGACTACCTCCACACTTTTGGTGTGACCTACAACAAACATGTGACCTACTGTAGGTGATAATTAAAACATTTCAATGATGGTTACAAAGCAATCAGATTGATCAAGAATTTGGTCAGGGCATGATAATAAAGATTACTGACAGATCGATCAAGAATTTGGTCAGGGCATGATAATAAATATTACTGACAGATTGATCAAGAATTTGGTCAGGGCATGATAATAAAGATTACTGACAGATTGATTAAGAATTCGGTCAGGGCGTGCTTATAAAGATTGTGACAGATTGGTCAAGAAGTTGAACAGAAATATTGCAACTGATGAACAGTGAAACATTTTAATGACCAATATACTGTAGAGGAAGTGATATACTGCTGATATACTGCACCCAAAGACATATGTTGTTATTGATATATCATGGAATAAAAAGTTATACAAAACCTATAAATAACTAATTAGAAAATAAAAATGTTAGGCAGTAGGGTATAGAATCCCTAATGGAGGTTAGCTCTGGCCCTCAGCCCAAGGGGTTGTACCGACTCTTTGCGGTCACTCCAGTTATATGTTATTACACTCTTGTAAATAAAATTGTAATTAGCTTCTTGTTATTTTGGACTTTTTGCTGAGCTATTTCCCCACAATGATCCGCACGCCATTTAGAAGGGGTTTCACTAGAAACCATATAGGTACTACACGCAGTACCATAATAGATACAATATGATACAATGTACCTGGATTGAAAACTGTAGCTGAAAATATATAATGAATTTTGGCAGATGTGCGGAATTGTGGACATCAGTGAGTGAGTGAGTGAGTTTTTGTTTTACGCTGCTTTTAGCAAGATTCCAGCAATATCATGGTGGGGGACATCAGAAATGGGCTTCACACAATGTACCCATATGGGGAATCGAACCCGGGTCTTTGGCATGGCGAGCAAACGATTTAACCACTAGGCTACCCCACTGTCCCTTTTGTGGACGTCAAGTTGTGGTCAAGAGATATGATGCTGTCGCTGCTGCACTTGCCTTGTAAGAGATGTCTCAGTGAAGCATCTCGCATACGCCACACCCGCGCAGTCTTGTCATATGATCCGCTCGCAAAGTGGCGACAGTCACCAGTTATGGCCACACTCTTTATTGCTCCTGCAAGAAAATATTAGCACAATTGAAAATTTTCACTATAAATTGTATATTTACAATGCTTATCCTAACTCTCTCTTTATACGACTGTTGAGTGGAAATGAACTGTAAACAAAGTTTTAGGCCACTTTTGAACCCTTCGCCCAACCACTCCCAACTGCTCCAACTCTGGGACAGCCTGGCACTGCTCCTGAGAAGGATATGATTATGGATATGGATATGATTACAATATGATATGAACAAAATAACTTTTACAAATCCAGAGATTTCATTTTTCAATGTAAAATCTAAGGAAAAATGATATTTCCCAAAACAAATTACCTCCAAGGTCAGTCCCATAATGACAGAACATCTACCATTGGGTCAGCCTAATAATGACACAACTTTCAACAAAGAATCAGTCCCATAATGACACAACTTCCATCATGGGGTCAGTCCTACAATGACACAACATCCATCAAAGAATCAGTCCCATATGACAACACCCATCAAAGGCTGTCCCGTAATGACACAACATATATCAAAGGATCAGTCCCATAATGACAAAACATCCATCAAAGGGTCAGTCCCACAACATCCATCAAAGGGTCAGTCCCACAACACCACATCACAACACATAACATCAACATCCATCAAGGGTCAGTCCCACAACAACACAACATCCATCAAAGGGTCAGTCCCACAACAACACAACATCCATCAAAGGGTCAGTCCCACAACAACACAACATCCATCAAAGGGTCAGTCCCACAATGACACAACATCCATCAAAGGGTCAGTCCCATAATGACACAACATCCATCAAAGGGTCAGTCCCACAACAACACAACATCCATCAAAGGGTCAGTCCCACAATCAACACAACACCCATCAAAGGGTCAGTCCCACAACAACACAACATCCATCAAAGGGTCAGTCCCATAATGACACCACATCCATCAAAGGGTCAGTCCCACAATGACACAACATCCATCAAAGGGTCAGTCCCATAATGACAAACATCCATCACCCATAATGACAAAACACACATCAAAGGGTCAGTCCCACAATCAATGACACAACTTCCATCAAACGGTCAGTCCCACAATGACACAACTTCCATCAAAGGGTCAGTCCCATAATGACACAACATCCATCTAAGGGTCAGTCCCATAATGACACCACATCCATCAAAGGATCAGTCCCAAATGACACAACATCCATGAAAGGGTCAGTCCCATAATGACACAACATCCATCAAAGGGTCAGTCCCATAATGACACCACATCCATCAAAGGGTCAGTCCCATAATGACAAAACATCCATCAAAGGGTCAGTCCCATAATGACAAAACACCCATCAAAGGGTCAGTCCCACACAACACAACCCATCAAAGGGTCAGTCCCAAAACAACACATCCAAGAAAGGGTTAGTCCCACAACAACACAACATCCATCAAGGGGTCAGTCCACAATCACACCACATCCATCAAAGGGTCAGTCCCATAATGACACCACATCCATCAAAGGGTCAGTCCCATAATGACACAACATCCATCAAAGGGTCAGTCCCATAATGACACAACATCCATCAAAGGGTCAGTCCCACAATGACACAACTTCCATCAAAGGGTCAGTCCAATAATGACACAACATCCATCAAAGGGTCAGTCCCATAATGACACCACATCCATCAAAGGGTCAGTCCCATAATGACACAACATCCATCAAAGGGTCAGTCCCATAATGACACCACATCCATCAAAGGGTCAGTCCCATAACAACACAACATCCATCAAAGGGTCAGTCCCATAATGACACCACATCCATCAAAGGGTCAGTCCCATAATGACACAACATCCATCAAAGGGTCAGTCCCATAATGACAAAACACCCATCAAAGGGTCAGTCCCACAATGACACAACATCCATCAAAGGATCAGTCCCATGATGACACCACATCCATCAAAGGTCAGTCCCATAATGACAACACAACATCCATCAAAGGGTCAGTCCCAAAACAACACAACATCCATCAAAGGATCAGTCCCATAATGACACCACATGCATCAAAGGGTCAGTCCCATAATGACACAACATCCATCAAAGGGTCAGTCCCATAATGACACCACACCCATCAAAGGGTCAGTCCCATAATGACACAACACCCATCAAAGGGTCAGTCCCAAAACAACACAACATCCATCAAAGGGTCAGTCCCATAAACACACACATCCATCAAAGGGTCAGTCCCATAATGACACCACATCCATCAAAGGGTCAGTCCATAATGACACAACATCCATCAAAGGGGTCAGTCCCATAAACAACACAACATCCATCAAAGGGTCAGTCCACAATCACACAACTTCCATCAAGGGTCAGTCCACAACAACACAACATCCATCAAAGGGTCAGTCCCATAATGACACCACATCCATCAAAGGGTCAGTCCCATAATGACACCACATCCATCAAAGGGTCAGTCCCATAATGACAAAACATCCATCAAAGGGTCAGTCCCAAAACAACACAACATCCAACAAAGGGTCAGTCCCACAACAACACAACATCCATCAAAGGGTCAGTCCCAAAATGACACAACTTCCATCAAAGGGTCAGTCCCATAATGACACAACATCCATCAAAGGGTCAGTCCCATAATGACACCACATCCATCAAAGGGTCAGTCCCATAATGACACAACATCCATCAAAGGGTCAGTCCATAATGACACAACATCCATCAAAGGGTCAGTCCCAATAATGACACAACATCCATCAAAGGGTCAGTCCCATAATGACACAACATCCATCAAAGGGTCAGTCCCATAATGACACCACATCCATCAAAGGATCAGTCCATTATGACACAACATTCATCAAAGGGTCAGTCCCATAATGACACAACATCCATCAAAGGGTCAGTCCCATAATGACACAACATCCATCAAAGGGTCAGTCCCACAATGACACAACATCCATCAAAGGGTCAGTCCCATAATGACACAACATCCATCAAAGGGTCAGTCCATAACGACACAACATCCATCAAAGGGTCAGTCCCATAATGACACAACATCCATCAAAGGGTCAGTCCCATAATGACACCACATCCATCAAAGGGTCAGTCCCATAATGACACCACATCCATCAAAGGGTCAGTCCCATAATGACACAACATCCATCAAAGGGTCAGTCCCATAATGACACAACATCCATCAAAGGGTCAGTCCCACAATGACACAACTTCCATCAAAGGGTCAGTCCATAATGACACAACATCCATCAAAGGGTCAGTCCCATAATGACACCACATCCATCAAAGGATCAGTCCCATTATGACACAACATCCATGAAAGGGTCCAGTCCATAATGACACAACATCCATCAAGGGTCAGTCACCATAATGACACAACATCCATGAAAGGGTCAGTCCCACAATGACACAACACCCATCAAAGGGTCAGTCCATAATGACACAACATCCATCAAAGGGTCAGTCCCATAATGACACAACATCCATCAAAGGATCAGTCCCATAATGACACAACATCCATCCATCAAAGGGTCAGTCCCATAATGACACCACATCCATCAAAGGGTCAGTCCCAAAACAACACAACATCCATCAAAGGATCAGTCCCATAATGACACAACATCCATCAAAGGGTCAGTCCATAATGACACAACTTCTATCACAGGGTCAATCTAATAATGACACAATACCATCAAGGGTCAGTCCCACAATGACACAACACCCATCAAAGGGTCAGTCCCAAAACAACACAACATCCATCAAGGGTCAGTCCAAGAACAACACAACATCCATCAAAGGGTCAGTCCACAATCAACACAACATCCATCAAAGGGTCAGTCCCATAATGACACAACATCCATCAAAGGGTCAGTCCCAAAACAACACAACATCCATCAAAGGGTCAGTCCACAATCACACACATCCATCAAAGGGTCAGTCCCATAATGACACAACATCCATCAAAGGGTCAGTCCCATAATGACACCACATCCATCAAAGGGTCAGTCCCATAATGACAAAACACCCATCAAAGGGTCAGTCCCACAATGACACAACATCCATCAAAGGGTCAGTCCCAAAACAACACAACATCCAAGAAAGGGTCAGTCCACAACAACACAACATCCATCAAAGGGTCAGTCCCACAATCCACACAACTTCCATCAAAGGGTCAGTCCATAATAACACAACATCCATCAAAGGGTCAGTCCCATAATGACACCACATCCATCAAAGGATCAGTCCATAATGACACAACATCTATCAAAGGGTCAGTCCCATAATGACACAACATCCATCAAAGGTCAGTCCCACAATGACACAACTTCCATCAAAGGGTCAGTCCCATAATGACACAACATCCATCAAAGGGTCAGTCCCATAATGACACCACATCCATCAAAGGATCAGTCCCATTATGACACAACATTCATGAAAGGGTCAGTCCCATAATGACACAACATCCATCAAAGGGTCAGTCACATAATGACACAACATCCATGAAAGGGTCAGCCCAACAATGACACAACTTCCATCAAAGGGTCAGTCCCATAATGACACAACATCCATCAAAGGGTCAGTCCATAACGACACAACATCCATCAAAGGATCAGTCCCATAATGACACAACATCCATGAAAGGGTCAGTCCCATAATGACACCACATCCATCAAAGGGTCAGTCCCATAATGACACAACATCCATCAAAGGGTCAGTCCCATAATGACACAACTTCCATCAAAGGGTCAGTCCCATAATGACACAACATCCATCAAAGGGTCAGTCCCATAATGACACCACATCCATCAAAGGGTCAGTCCCATAATGACACAACATCCATCAAAGGGTCAGTCCCATAATGACACCACATCCATCAAAGGGTCAGTCCCATAATGACACCACATCCATCAAAGGGTCAGTCCCATAATGACACAACATCCATCAAAGGGTCAGTCCCATAATGACACAACATCCATCAAAGGGTCAGTCCCACAATGACACAACTTCCATCAAAGGGTCAGTCCCATAATGACACAACATCCATCAAAGGGTCAGTCCCATAATGACACCACATCCATCAAAGGGTCAGTCCCATAATGACACCACATCCATCAAAGGGTCAGTCCCATAATGACACCACATCCATCAAAGGGTCAGTCCCATAATGACACCACATCCATCAAAGGGTCAGTCCCATAATGACACAACATCCATCAAAGGGTCAGTCCCACAATGACACAACATCCATTAAAGGGTCTGTCCCTTAATGACAAAACACCCATCAAAGGGTCAGTCCACAATGACACAACATCTATCAAAGGATCAGTCCCATGATGACACCACAGACATCAAAGGGTCAGTCACATAATAACACAATATCCATCAAAGGGTCAGTCCCATCATGACACAACATCCATCAAAGGATCAGTCCCATCATGACACAACATCCATCAAAGGATCAGTCCCACAATGACACAACGTCCATTAAAGGGTCAGTCCCATAATGACACAACTTCTATCACAGGGTCAATCTAATAATGACACAACACCCATCAAAGGGTCAGTCCCACAACAACACAACACCCATCAAAGGGTCAGTCCACAACAACACAACACCCATCAAAGGGTTAGTCCCATAATGACAAAACACCCATCAAGGGGTCAGTCCACAATGACACAACATCTATTAAAGGATCAATCCCATGATCACACCCATCAAAGGTCAGTCCCACAATGACACAACACCCATCAAAGGGTCAGTCCCACAATGACACAACACCCATCAAAGGGTCAGTCCCACAATGACACAACACCCATCAAAGGGTCAGTCCCACAATGACACAACACCCATCAAAGGGTCAGTCACACAATGACACAACACCCATCAAAGGGTCAGTCACACAATGACACAACACCCATCAAAGGGTCAGTCCCACAATGACACAACACCCATCAAAGGGTCAGTCACACAATGACACAATACCCATCAAAGGGTCAGTCCCACAATGACACAACACTCATCAAAGGGTCAGTCCCACAATGACACAACACCCATCAAAGGGTCCAGTCCCATAATGACAAAACACCCATCAAAGTGTCAGTCCCACAACAACACAACATCCATCAAAGGGTCAGTCCCAAAACAACAGAACATCCATCAAAGGATCAGTCCCATAATGACACAACATCCATGAAAGGGTCAGTCCCATAAGGACACAACATCCATCAAAGGGTCATTCCCACAATGACACAACTTCCATCAAAGGGTCAGTCCAATAATGACACAATATCCATGAAAGGGTCAGTCCCATAATGACACAACATCCATCAAAGGGTCAGTCCCACAATGACACAACATGCATTAAAGGGTCTGTCCCTTAATGACAAAACACCCATCAAAGGGTCAGTCCCACAATGACACAACTTCCATCAAAGGGTCAGTCCCATAATGACACAACACCCATCAAAGGGTCAGTCCCACAATGACACAACATGCATTAAAGGTCAGTCCATAATGACAAAACACCCATCAAAGGATCAGTCCCATAATGACACAACATCCATTAAAGGGTCAGTCCCACAATGACACAACATCCATCAAAGGATCAGTCCCACAATGACACAACATCCATCAAAGGGTCAGTCCCATAATGACACAACATCCATCAAAGGGTCAGTCCCATAATGACACAACATCAATTAAAGGGTCAGTTCCATAATGACACCAGATGCATCACAGGGTCAGTCCCATCATGACACAACATCCATAAAAGGATCAGTCCCATAATGACACCACATGCATCACAGGGTCAGTCCCATCATGACACAACATCCATAAAAGGATCAGTCCCATAATGACACCACATGCATCACAGGGTCAGTCCCATCATGACACAACATCCATCAAAGGGTCAGTCCCAAAACAACACAACATCCATGAAAGGGTCAGTCCCATAATGACACAACATCCATCAAAGGATCAGTTCCATAATGACACCAGATGCATCACAGGGTCAGTCCCATCATGACACAACACCCATCAAAGGGTCAGTCCCAAAACAACACAACATCCAACAAAGGGTCAGTCCCACAACAACACAACATCCATCAAAGGGTCAGTCCCATAATGACACAACATCCATCAAAGGGTCAGTCCCATAATGACACAACGTCCATTAAAGGGTCAGTCCCATAATGACACAACTTCTATCACAGGGTCAATCTAATAATGACACAACACCCATCAAAGGGTCAGTCCCACAACAACACAACACCCATCAAAGGGTCAGTCCCACAACAACACAACACCCATCAAAGGGTCAGTCCCATAATGACATAACACCCATCAACGGGTCAGTCCACAATGACACAACATCTATTAAAGGATCTGTCCCATGATCACACCCATCAAAGGGTCAGTCACACAATGACACAACATCCATCAAAGGGTCAGTCCCACAATGACACAACACCCATCAAAGGGTCAGTCCCACAATGACACAACACCCATCAAAGGGTCAGTCACACAACAACACAACACCCATCAAGGGTCAGTCCCATAATGACAAAACACCCATCAAAGGGTCAGTCCCACAATGACACAACACCCATCAAAGGGTCAGTCCCACAACAACACAACACCCATCAAAGGGTCAGTCCCATAATGACAAAACACCCATCAAAGGGTCAGTCCCACAATGACACAACATCTATTAAAGGATCAGTCCCATAATGACACACACCCATCAAAGGGTCAGTCCCACAATGACACAACACCCATCTAAGGGTCAGTCCCACAATGACACAACACCCATCAAAGGGTCAGTCCACAATGACACAACACCCATCAAAGGGTCAGTCACACAACAACACAACATCCATCAAAGGGTCAGTCCCACAACAACACAACATCCATCAAAGGGTCAGTCCCACAATGACACAACACCCATCAAAGGGTCAGTCCCACAATGACACAACACCCATCAAAGGGTCAGTCCCACAATGACACAACATCCATCAAAGGGTCAGTCCCACAATGACACAACACCCATCAAAGGGTCAGTCCACAATGACACAAGCAATCCCGAGTGGCCACTGACCACTGTAACAATGTTAGCACTTTGACTCTTCCTGCTACAAACTCAGATAAAGTTTTCAGGGTTATCCTAGTCTGTCTCACAGTCCCTGAACCACATTAATTTCCCTACTGCCAAGCCTTCTCTGCAGTGCTAAAACCCTAAATAAAGCATGTCTAGATTTCCTCAGGTTCTGAATCTCTGGTCTCCCTAGGGCTCCTTTTCAATATAAATGGGCTTGTTTGTTACTATCAAAATTATATATATTCAGAGACTAAGCCTTAGTCTAGGGTTATACCTGTATGACCTTTCACTTTACAAACAAACTCTCCAGTTCTGGCATTGAAGATTCGAATTCTCTCATCATCAGAACCAGTTATCAAAATCTGGAAATCACTGGAAAATGCCACACAGTTCACCTGAAACAAAACACAGATGTCATTGGAAACAGATTCTAAATGAAGGAGACAGGTGCTATACAATAATCTTCTCAACCTTCCCAAATGAATATCCATGTTAGAATCTATCTTCTCCAACCTATAACAAAACTTGAGTGAGTGAGGTTAATATCCAGCGTCCCATCAGCAATATCTCAGCCATATTGTGATGAGAACAATTCATAAATTAAAGATGAAAAATTTTCAAGATTGAAATCTGTCGATGATGGACAGTAAAACTACTAGAGAATCTCAGATATTAAGATAAAACTAGAATGTTATCATAAAACATATTACTATAGAGAACAATGCAATATAAAAACGGCCTATAGATTGCCAACAACTGAAGGTAGATCACCATGCAAGGGACCATGGGGACTTACAGTACTTTTGCTACCTGAATGGATCCTCGCTGGATTAACACCATCCCTTCAGCCGCTGGCGATTAAACTTCAATTAAACCAAAGCAATATAAGAACATTTATCCATGTAGCATGATAAATACCTTGAAAGAGATGGGACTTACATACTCTCTCAGGGGACAATAATTGTATGCTACTTCAATCCTCTTGAAGGTGGTTGTATTTGACCACATTCTAAATGACATTGTACGTGTATTCATAACTTTCAGCCAATTTACACATGTCAGAGGGGTACACAAAGTCTGTGGTCTAGACTCCTGGTTGTGCAGGGATGCCTAGTGGATAGCCTAGTGGTTAAAGCGTTCGGATTGACATGCTGAAGACTGACTCACAGGTTGTTGATTCCCCATACATTGTGTGAAACCCATTTCTGGTGTCACCTCCATTGATATTGTTGGATTATTGTTTTTAGCAAGATATTGTGTCCATCAAAAATCAAACTCACTCATACTCAGTACCATCAGTCAGGGTCAGAAATTTACCAGTATGTCCGACTATCCCCATTTTGAGTGGAATTAATATTTTTAGGCATACAAGAATATTGTGTCCATCACTCTGTAAAATTGCCCATGTGGTAGCTTCTTTTCCATACTCAGCATCATGGCTAAGTCATGAGGAACTGGATTGGTGGACAGTCAAAGGCTATTGAAACACCTTTTCATACAGACATTAAACAATCAACAACAGTAATCTGTACATGAAAGTAAGTGAATGAGTGAGTTTGGTTTTAAGCTGCTTTTGTAATATTCCAGGCTAATTTCCAGCAATATTACAGCAGGGTACACCAGAAATAGACTTCACACGATGCTTTAACCATTAGGCTACCCCACCACCCTGTACATAAAAGAATACATTTAGATAACTGTACCTAATGAAGAGGAACACTTATTTATGGATAGAGTGAGTGAGTGAGTGAGTTTAGTTTTACACCCGCACTCAGCAATATTCCAGCTATATGGTGGCGGTCTTTAAATAATCGAGTCTGGACCAGACAATCCAGTGATCAACAGCATGAGCATCGATCTAAGCAATTGGGAACCAATGACATGTTTCAACCAAGTCAGCGAAGTCTGGCCACCTGATCCGTTAGTCGCTTCTTCGACAAGCATAGTTGCCTTTTGTGGCAAGCATGGGTTGCTGAAGACCTATTCTACCCGGATCGTCCGCGGGTATTTATGGATAGACAACTTCTTATTGCAATAGATGCGATGTTTCAGTGTAGATCCTAATACCATTATCAAGCAAATAACAGTGTTAAGATCTACACTGAAACGTCGCATCTATTGTAATAAAGAAGTTGTCTATCCATAAAACAGTGTTCCTCTTCATCATACTAGCTTCTAAATGCCACTTACCTAATGTTGAAAATATTACCTAATTAATGTTGAAAATATTACGATGCAATGAATGAATACATCTCATGAACACATTTCCACATAACAGCATAACACAACTACAAAGTTTATATAATTATAAAGAAGGTAAAATATTTTTTTTACCCTTTTATCTTTGTAATTATATAATATCTGCCATGGACAGGAGCGTAGTTAGGTTATTCTTCCCCGACCAAAAAACGAAATTCTGCCCCTTTAGTCCACTCCCACAAATTTAAGGGTCATTTTTCTTTTTGGGGGCAACTGTTTTCCTTGTCCATGTTTTACATTACCCATTTCGCCAACGCACTTACCCATCCCAGCAAACCATCTTAAAATGTATCAATACTGTTATTTCAGTAAAGACATATATTTATTGATCTTAGCAATATCTTTATGCACTTAATTTCATAATGCTAAATATACTTTTATGTTGCCATAGAGACATAGCAGTTTTTCCAAGCTGTCTGTGAAAACATTTTATTCACTGTTCATAAACACTCTCTGGAACATCAACTATTAAAGGTGAATCACCTTGGACTCGTTTATTACCAAACAACTTTATGGTATTGTGTCTTTGTGATTTTTGTATTTTTGTCTATTTAAAGTGTGTACATACTCCAGCTATGGTTACTATTTGCTGGTTTTTAAGTGATATGCCTGTAACCAAGTTTTATTTCCTTTGGAGAAATATTACTTGTATTTGAAGGCACTATAAAAATGTGACATAAAATGTAACTGATTGGTTGAGGGGCTAGTTTACAAAACATGATACACAATCTTAACACCAGTCTCACATCCACCTCATCCCCTAAAACAAACAAGCAGAGTGGTGTTGTGCAAAACAAGCTTAGCGCTAAAGTGAGTGACTGAGTTAAAATTTAACGTCACCCTGGCAATATTTCAGCCATATAGTGACGAGAAATGTTGTACATAAACAATAAATACAAGTAATTAAATACACAGTCATTGACGGACTGTAAAATAACTAGAGTATCACAAAAAGAGTTAAAACTAACTAGCATATATTTTTAAAAGTAGGAAACTATTTTAGGTAATACAATGTAAAAATGGGCTAGTGATTGCCAACAACTGAAGGTAGATCACCATACTAGGGACCATGGGGACTTACAGTGCTTTTGTAACCTCCATGGACCCTAGTTGGATTAGCGCTAAAGTGACGTAAATCAAATAACTTTATACAGAAGCACAACAGTCTTAGTGTTAAAGATGTGTTGCACAACATCACCAAGACCGACGGCAAGTTTCAATTCAACAAGAGACACTAGTGCATCCTCATACATGAACAAATCATATCTTTATTTATAGTCAATAAATATTAATAGCAAAGAATATTTCAGTGGTTACTGAATGATATTGGCAAAATGATACCTATTGAAGAGGTTACAAAATATTATTGCCAGTATGAACCACATAATCCAGTGATTGATGTCATAAGCATCAATTCACACTTTTAAATATGATGATATGAATCACAAAATCTGACACTCCAATACATTTAGCTGCCCTTTACAAACAAATTACAAATGTTAACAGTTATGAGGGATATTGGTACTATGTTTGGTTCTCAGATATTTTACTATGTTAACAGTTATGAGAAGGTTCCACACTATGTTAACAGTTATCAAAGATAGTACACTATGTTAACAGTTATCAAAGATAGTACACTATGTTAACAGTTATCAAAGATAGTACACTATGTTAACAGTTATCAAAGATAGTACACTATGTTAACAGTTATCAAAGATAGCACACTATGTTAACACTTATCAAAGATAGTACACTATGTTAACAGTTATCAAAGATAGCACTATGTTTGCAGTGTGTTAACAGTTATCAAAGATAGTACACTATGTTAACAGTTATCAAAGATAGTACACTATGTTAACAGTTATCAAAGATAGTACAACAGTTATCAAAGATAGTACACTATGTTAATAGTTATCAAAGAGATAGCACTGTGTTAATATTTATCAAAGATAGTACACTATGTTAACGGTTATCAAACATAGTGCACTATGTTAACAGTTATCAAGATAGTACACTATGTTAACAGTTATGAAAGATAGCACACTATGTTAACAGTTCTCAGATAGCACACTATGTTAACAGTTATGAAAGATAGCACACTATGTTAACGGTTATCAAAGATAGTACACTATGTTAACAGTTATCAAAGATAGCACACTGTGTTAACAGTTATCAAAGATAGTACACTATGTTAACAGTTATCAAAGATAGCACTGTGTTAACGGTTATCAAAGATAGTACACTATGTTAACAGTTATCAAAGATAGTACACTGTGTTAACAGTTTATCAAACATAGTGCACTATGTTAACAGTTATCAAGATAGTACACTATGTTAACAGTTATGAAGATAGCACACTATGTTAACAGTTATGAAAGATAGCAGTGTTAACAGTTATCAAAGATAGCACTGTGTTAACAGTTATCAAAGATAGTACACTGTGTTAACAGTTAGCAAAGATAGTGCACTATGTTAACAGTTATCAAGATAGTACACTATGTTAACAGTTATGAAAGATAGCACACTGTGTTAACAGTTATCAAAGATAGTACATTGTGTTAACAGTTATGAAAGATAGTACACTATGTTAACAGTTATCAAAGATAGTACACTGTGTTAACAGTTATGAAAGGTAGTAAACTATGTTAACAGTTATCAAAGATAGTACACTGTGTTAACAGTTATGAAAGATAGTAAAACTATGTTAACAGTTATGAAAGATAGTACACTGTGTTAACAGTTATGAGTGAGTGAGTGAGTTAATATTTAACGTCACATCGGCAATATTTCAAGCCATATCGTGGACGAGAACATTTGATATTGAAAAACAATATATATACATAGATATTATAAAACCTGCCGACAAAGGACAGTAAAAGCAACTAGGGTATCACAGATAAAAATGTAAAACTAGTAATTGAATCTAAAACATTTTAACTATGGGGACAACACAATATAAAAATGGGCTATAGATCGCCAACAACTGAAGGTAGATCACCATACTAAGGGCCATGGGGACTTACATTACTTTGCTACCTGCATGGACCCTAGCTGGATTTACACCATCCCTTCAGCTGTTGGCGTTTATACGAGAATTAGCCATACATTAAAATGACAAAATACTACGATTAAAACA